AAAGAGAAAAGAAAAAAAAGAGGGGAGGGGAAAGAAAAAAAGAGAGAAATATAAAATGTACTATATATGTGTTAAAGACATTCTAGTCCCAAACTGACACTTCCTCCTTGAGGGAATTAAAAGTACTAATGGAGAGTTGAACAGGGAGGCACAATTTCCTCCCTATGCGGCAACGTTGTTTAATGCAATGCAAGACACCTTCCCAATGCTTCACGGCTTCCACCTCCTGAAACACTGATGTGGAGAAGGAAACACAGACCACGCCCTGGGGATGCTTCCCTATCTTAGCTCAGCCTTCAGTCACCGTCACCCTCCCTGGTCTTGTCAGATTTGAAATATCTTCTTCCTTTGTAAGAGGACCTTATCTATCTTGCTCACCTCTGTATTCCCAGCCCCTACTGCAGACTTGGAGCATAGTAGGTGCCCAGTAAACACAGGTTGAATTAATTAATATTGGACAGGCCGGGATTGGTGGCTCACGCCAGTAATCCCAACACTTTGGCAGGCTTAGGTGGGAGGATCACCTGAGGTCGGGAGTTCAAGACCAGCCTAGCCAACATGGTGAAACCCCACTCTACTAAAAATACAAAAATTAACAGGGTGTGGTGTCACATACCTGTAATCCTAGCTACTTGGAGGCTAAGGTGGGAAAATCACTTGAGCCTAGGAGGTGCAGATTGCAGTGAGCCGAGATCGCAGCAGTGAGCCGAGATCGCAGCACTGCACTTCAGCCTGGGCGACAGAGTGAGACTCTGACTTAATAATAATAGTTTATTATTACTGGACGGGAAGGAGGGAGTTTGCAAAGGAGCCGTTGAAATGAATTTTGTTCTGAGATTCTGATGTGATGGGTTCTGGGTAGGGGCCGGGGAACTGGAAGGTTTTTAATGCCCCGCACCCAAGGGCTGCCACAGTTAAGAATCATTAATTCTGAAGCTTGGTAGGGAAGCTTGATAGGACTTTGGGTTTTTCACTGAGGGCAGAATCCCCAGTGACTGTCAGAGACCCCGCCCTGAACCTTAAGAATCTTCCCGGCCCAGGCCCGTTAGGTCGGACAGGGAAGGAGAGTGGAGCTGGGACACCGGGCAGAGAGCGGCTCTGCTCACCTGCGGGAGAACGCGAAGATGGGGTCCTAGTGGGACCGGCGTTCGCGGGCGCGTCCTGCCAGGAGTGAGTCTTGGCGCCATCTAGCGCCCACTGGAGGCTCTGCAGCTGCAGTTGGCTGAGCCGCCGGCGCTGGGCATGGGTCACGGCCGCTGCGTTCTCCGGGCCCAGAGAGGCGATCTGCTCTGCGGACAGTTCCTGCGGGAGGCAAAGGGGCAGCACCCTCACACGGGGCCCCTCCCTGGATTTCCCACACCTAGGGCGTCCGCGCAGGATGCGCACGACTTCGCCATCCCCTTTCCTGTATCATGTGTGGTCCTCTTTAAGATGTTTCCTTAAAATTAGATCACTCTTGCACTACAAAACAAATGCATTTAAAAATAGAAAATTTTAAATGGAAATATCCAAAAATGGAAAGCCGCTAGACTTGCCATAAGCAAGCATTAAGTAGAAGCCACAAAATAAAAATAAAACAATATTGTTGACTCCTAGCTAGATTTTGTCCACCAACAATATCTGAACCCCTGGCCTCTTAAAAAGAGAGAGAATATAAGATGTACTATATAGGTGTTAAGGACATTCTAGTCCCAAACTGACACTTCTTCCCAGAGGTAATTAGAAGTAGTAATGGAGAGTTGAAAAGGGAGGCAAAATTTCCACCCTATGCGGCAATGTTGTTTAGTGCAATGCAAGACACCTTCCCAATGCTTCACGTCTTCCACCTCCTGAACCACTGATGTGGAGAAGGAAACACAGGCCCTAAAGACCAAATGCCTAAATCTGAGCCCCAGCTCTGCCACATGCTTGCTGTGTCACCTTGGACAAATTATACAGCCTCTCTGGGCTTTGGGGATAAATATGGGACAGCATAGAGAACTCATCTCCTCTGCTGACTGATTCCGATCCTTTGGTTTGTCTGCCTGAGCACCATGTGATGAGCCCTGTGAGTGCTCCATGGAGGGAAACTGTGGTCATTTATTGGTGGTTTGCCATGGACAACACGAGTAGGAAATTCTTCAAGGACTGTGAAAAAAGATGTCTTCTGAAGTCACTTCCAGCTCAAAGGACTTGGTGACTCGTTGGAATTGGAATACAATGGGATGGCAGGATGCCGCTCTTATAGAAGGGACTCTATATCATCCTGCTTATTCTCTAAAGGCCCTGTAGAATCTGGGAAAGGTACTTAAGCTCCCTCATCCCTTCTTCTCCTCTATTCCTCTCTTGTCGAGTTAGATACTTCCCTGGAATCATATCCCTCTGCGTAGAGCCCTTCCCATCACCCCACTCCAGAACAAAGCTCAGGCTCCTGGAAAAAGCTCTGCCCACCTCTCCAGCCTCACACTTGGCACTCTTCACTCCAGGAGAGTGGGTACCAACCTTTCTGTGCACCTCCTTCTGCCTGGAACACTGTTCCTTCTTCATCACCAGCTGTCCTCCAAAATTCAGCATCTGGCCAGTCAACCACCATGGCTCATGCCTACAATCCCAGCACTTTAGGAGGCCAAGGCAGAATGATTAATGGAGCCCAGGAGTTCAAGATCAGCCTGGGCAACAAAGTAAGACCCCCATCTCTACAAAATAGTTTTTCTTTAATTAGCCAGATGTGTGGTCCTAGTTACTTAGGCTGAGGTGAGAGGATTGCTTGAGTCCAGGGGATCAAGGCTGCAGTGAGCCATTATTGTGCCACTGCACTCTTTGGGCAATAGAGTAAGACTTTGTCTCAAAAAAAATTAAAATAAAATTCAGCATCGCCTCCTATCTTCTCACTACACACACACACACACACACAGAGACACACATACACACACACACAGGGAGGGCAGGTTCCATATACCATTAACACAGAGTCTATATTCTAAAAATTATCTCTTTTATCAATGTTGCTGACTTGCGACCCACAGGCCAGATTGAATCTCTAGGCCTACGGCACTGTGTTTTCAAAAATAAATTCAGATTGGCTGCCAACATTTAATTATCAGATGATTCCATATGAAAATGAAGATTTCTGACTTCTCCAAAAAAGTAGAAAGGAAAATTCAGCAATACTGGGCCCACATGGTCACACTGCATGAATGTGCTAGGGATTAGAAGCAGCCTCCACATTTAGGCAGGGCTCTCCAGTTCACTTCAGTCTCTACCCAGCCGACTGCACTTTACATTACCTTTCTAGCCCCTGAAGGCACTGTGTGATAACCCCTTCACCTGTGCATCCTTAGGTACACCTACCCTGGAGCCTGCCACAACATAGGCTCACATCACTTCAGGTCAGTATGGATTTCTGGAATAGATACCTGTAGAAGGAAGCAGCACAACAGCACTCCAAACAAGACCAAGAGAAAGTGCTTAGCAAAATGCCAGCATCCAAGACCAAGCTACTTGTCCCATGCAGAGTACCCCAGAGGGGAAGCAGGTATTTGCTCAATGGCCTGGAAGACTGCTATTTTTTTTTTTTGAGACAGAGTTTCGCTCTTGTTACCCAGGCTGGAGTGCAATGGCACGATCTCGGCTCACCGCAACCTCCGCCTCCTGGGTTCAGGCAATTCTCCTGCCTCAGCCTCCTGAGTAGCTGGGATTACAGGCACGCGCCACCATGCCCAGCTGATTTTTTTGTATTTTTAGTAGAGACGGGGTTTCACCATGTTGACCAGGATGGTCTCGATCTCTTGACCTCGTGATCCACCCGCCTCGGCCTCCCAAAGTGCTGGGATTACAGGCTTGAGCTATTTACTGCCCTCAAACAGCTATTAGGCCGCAATGTACTGGGAACTGTCCAGGGTGCTGAAGTGATTGAAGGTAGGCTATCTTTCTTGAAATGAACTAGTGATGTGGCACCAGGGGAGTTTGTCGAGCCTGGTTTGTGTGTTTTATCCAGGAGTGGTGGACAAAATGTGTTCCCACATTACCCAGCAAACAGGAACACCAGGGTCACTGCCTCATCAGAGCAGACTATTCCCACCAAACACTCCCCTAATCTTGTACACAGACAGAAAAAAATGACCTGTCACTAGATACCCTGCTTCACTTCAATTGATCCAATTCTACTCTCTCAATTTTTTCCATAGCAGTTTTCACCTGTTCTCTTGTGATTTTCCTAATACTTTTCTTTAAATCAACTAAAAAATATAGAAAACATATATACATACATAGAGAGAGAGAGAGAGAGAGAGAGAGAGAGAGAGAGAGAGAGAGAGAGAGACAAAGTTTCACTCTTGTTTCCCAGGCTGGAGTGCAATGATGTGGTCTCAGCTCACTGCAACCTCTGCCGCCTGAAATCAAGTGATTCTTCTGCCTCAGCCTCCCAAGTAGCTGGGATTACAGGCGTCTGCCATCATGCCCAGCTAATTTTGTATTTTTAGTAGAGATGGGGTTTCACCATGTTGGCAAGGCTGGTCTGGAACTCCTGGCCTCAGGTGATTGGCCGGCCTCAGCATCCCAAAGTGCTAGGATTATAGGCATGAGCCACCACACCTGGCCTAAATCAACTAAAATATTTTTATTTAATTGTATTTTAAAAGGAAATGTTACAACAGTCCACAATCCTCATCTGCAATTCTGATGTCCAAAAAACAAATCTGAAAACTGAAAGTTTTCTCCCAAAGTTTAAGTCAAACTTATTTATCAGCAAAACGTGACCTGAAGTGAGGTGAGGCTATTTATTTATAGTCTCTATTTATTCAAATTAGTGTGGTTTGTCATAGATTTCTTCAAAAAAATATTAATGTGTTTGCTATAAGGTGTTTCCCCAGACACTGCTAGGGGTATGAAATTACATACAGTAAATGTAAAGGGTGATTTTTTTTTTTTTTTTTTGAGATGGAGTTTTACTCCTGTTAACCAGGCTGGAGTGCAGTGGCACAATCTTGGCTCATCACAACCTCCATCTCCTGTGATTCTCTTGCCTC